TAAGTTACCTAAGCATCAAAGAAATATACCTGTATATATGAAAAAATATAGTTTGGGGACAGCACAGAATGGGAACAATCCACACTTTAAATGCTACAAATGAACTCTACAACAGAGGTTCTTTACCCTATGAATTGGAAACTTGATATTCAATGAATGTGTGTGGATTAAAGTAACGATGCATATGGCATCTAACCTCACATACACATTTTACTCAATGTGCTGTAAAATTAAAAGAGAATATATGATAGCAGGCAGCTATTTAAAAATGGATGGTAAGTCATTTTCTAAAAACTGCTAACTGAGTTGATTTAAGCTTACAAAATGATGTAAACTGGGTCATGCCACAATATATATCAGCACATTTGGGCTTCAATGGTTTAAATGTGTTTGACTTAGATACAATAACCCTTAAAGAGGGCCTCTTGATCCCATATGTTTTATAGAAATACTTATCTGCTGAGGGAGGGGAGGTGGGAGAGAGGGACAGCAACATCAACTCTCTTATCTCCACCCAGGACCTGCTGCAGGAGAAGACATTGTTTCCTGGAGTTACCTCAGGTTTCAAGATCTTTAGCACTGTGATGAGATTAATTTATTTGTACAGAGAAGTCCTAGTCTCGCTCAATCTCAAACATTTTACAGTCACTGCAATGCCAAAATACTTTTGCACAATCATTTTTCTGTGCAAAGCCATTATTTTGAGATTCTTATTTTATTCAAGTGACATACAGGCTCTATATCTTAGAGGGTTACAGTAATTTTGAGAAAACACTTTATATGAGGAAATGGTCAAAAGTAAGAGAAGTGATTAAGTTTCCATCAACATTATTATCTCAGTCATAATGGGGATCAGCAATTGCAGTAAACCTAGTCATACAGCTACCATTCAAGACAATGATGACGTACAGCACACAGGCCTGCTCACACAGAAATATATCATTTTAAAGTGGGCTTTGGGCAGGTGCCATGCACAGCCACAGAGGTGACAAGAAAAAGCCTCTGAAGCAGGCCAAGGAAATGGATGAGGAAGAGAAGGCTTTCGAACAGAA